TCTCTCTGTATATATATAGATATAGATATAGATAGATAGATAGATATACTCAATTCTCCTGGAGAAGCCTGTAATTAAAACACACACATACACAGTTCTGTAGAACTGATGCAAAATACACTGGAATGGTGGCACATTATCAGTCCTACTACCTTCTGGTGTCTGCTGCTGCTCACTACCTGCCTATCCTATTGGACTGACTTCCAGATGGAAATACAGGTGAGATGGATAAGTGGATGATTACCCCAAATGACTAGAACATGTGAAACCTTTTTCAAGAGTCCCAAGCACTACTCAAACAAAGCATTGAGCTCAGAATGGGGGAAAAATAAAAGGCAAAGTCAGAAGCTGGTGGCTGCTGGAACAAGAGGCAAAGGTAAGAAAGAAAATCCTGGGACAGGACCAGTGTGTACTCAAAGCTTACTTTGCCCACAGAGTAGATAAGCTTCAAGACCCAGCTCTGTCAAAAGTGGCATACACATAGACTGTGAGTATAGCTCAGAGGCAGAGTGCTTAAATAATGCAAGGCTACAGGTTCAATCTGCAGTTAATTGTGATAATATAAATCAACTGATTGATACAGACAGGATTCATAGAACTGCATGAAAACATAGCTGATCAATGGACTTCATGCCTTTATAACAGGATGACAGGGAATGGAGCTATGCATTGAAGTGGTATAGTGATAGCCTTGAGCACAAAAGCTCAGGGACAGTGCCCAGGCCCTGAGTTCAAGCCCCATGATTTGACTTTAAAAAAGGAAAGCAGAGGGAGAGACCATAGGCTGCTCACCTCACCTCCGTTTTAAAGGCATACCAGAAAGCATCTGTTTAGTATAGGTCTGATCCTTATGCTCACATACCCCCACCATCTCTGAATCAAGAACTTCACCTTCTATCTGGGCCACATGATGATATTTCAAGTTCTTGGCCACAGTTCATAGAAAGGGCCATGATCTAAGTTAGGCAAAGAAGATTCATTCTGGTACCTTAACTAAGGAGGTTAATATGAATTTTTGGCCACTGGCAGCCATGTTTTACCACTTTTGAGACCTGAATAGCAAAAGGAAGCAAAAAAGATGGAGAGAAATCATATCTCCATATCATGGAGTCCCTGTATGACCATCTTTTCAGCATGAAAATCAATAAATTTCTTGAGTTCTGTGTCTTGCAGCTTTAAGTGTCATGACAATAATCTTAGTATTTTAAGCCCCAGAGCAATTCACTTAATTGTCTATCGTGGTTGATACTCCTCCTCAGTATCACCACTGCCCAATACACCAGCCGTTTTCCCCAAAGCCATGTCCTTTCCTGCTTGTGCACTCTGACTCACCATTCTCTTACCAAAGCTTGTCCGGTCTTCAAAACCAGGATGCAGTGTTTTACCCCACAGGAAGCCTTCCTTGACTGTCAGGACACATACACTTCCCTTGCCCTTCTGTTAGATTATAGAAGGCAAACAGGTTGTAAAGGCTAAGGGACACCCTCCCCCTTATTAGAACAAATCCCATCCACCACTCTAAGCTTATTCCACAAGGAAACCTCCCACCAGTTGTGGCATTGGAAATCTAGGGAAGAGACCCCCTAAGAGGGAGGAGGAAAGAAGTAGGGCATGCAGGCTACCTGGTCCACTTCACCACAAAGTTGACCCCTTGATAGGGCCAGTTGCTTTCCCTCCCCTTTTTTAGAGACAAGCAGGAACCTTCCAAATAGAGCTGTCTATAAGCAATACAGCTCTTAGGCCCCACTCAGAGGCTCACGTAATCCCTTAGCATTTCTCCATTGTTGTCTCTTTGAAAGTTTTTAAATTACTATTATCATTCTCTATCTCCTTAGACACATAGTTGTACTAAGGGGTCTCTACCTCCTCTGTACACTACCTTAGGAAAAAGCCTTTTATGACCTATCAGCCAAATGGATATAAATTCTTCAGCTCTGGGACCAACAGATTCTTCTTGAGGAAACTGTCCTTTCCCCCAGTTCTTTTTCCTCAAACCACTCCCCTTAACAGAGCAGCTTTACTTCTAGGGGTCCCGTCAAAAAGGGCCTTTTTCTCTCCATGCACTGTATAAACCTCATTAAAGTGCTACTCACACACACACACACACAAATGCATAGGAAGAGGATTGTTCCCCTTCAGAACCTGTGTGTCCCTGTAGGTGTGGATACCTGCAGATGAGATGCCAGCTGAAGATTCTGGGGTGGTCTGGTGAGAACTGCCTTTTCCTTGGGTGCAACAACCATTTCCTCTCTCCCTAGGCCGCCTTTCTGCCTTCATTTCATGAGTGAGGTCCTTAGGAATGTGCAGCTGATCTCACCTTCCAGTGTCCTCTATCATGGGGTGACAGAGACTGGGACATCTGGTTTTACCACAGCACCTCAGGTCTCAGGCCCTCCACTTTCAGCCCCCCAGACATTTTGATTAACACCAGGCAGTCATTCTTTTACACTGTCAACAGTCAATAAAGCAGCATCTCCCTCCGTCCTCAATGCTCTACACCAAAGCTCCCCACTGCTTTGTAGCACAGATGAGTCTTTAACTTCCTGACCCCTCATTATCCTGCCACCAGTGCCATTCTCTCATCAATCCTGGCTCCAACTGCCTCTTCCAGGAAGCCTTTAGTGATACTCTCCCCTCCAGAACTGTTGTGAGGTGTCCAGACCACTCACTTCACTCTACCTTCCTGTGGCCAAGTCCTTCTGAACTAAGGATTACAACATGGGAGGCAAGCTCTTGATAGTCATCATTTCCTTTCATGGTACCTCTCGTGTATATCCCAAAAAAGGAATCCTTCACATGAACATCTGAATTCACATGAACATCTGAATTCACATGAAATGAGAACATACTCCCGGCTCCACAGAAAGAACATAGGTACTTTCCCAAAGAGGAAATATTTGTATTTACCTAAATGGACTGTTTCCCAAAGGAAGCCCTAGGCCTTTTCACTATAATCTTAGCACACAGGAAAGATAGATAGATGGCACTTCCAAAAGAGCTTTTCTACAGGTTATTCCTGGGAACAATTTCTATCCCCAATCCTTTCCAATGATCACTTCTTAAAATTTCAAAGAAAGGACAGTTTATTATTTTTTTGGCCATTCTTGGGGCTTGAACTCAGGGACTAGTGCTATCCTGCCTGCTGCCACCCCTTTCCCCGCCTCCCCCCGCCAAGGCTAGCACTCTATCACTTGAGCCACAGCTCCAGGACTGGCTTTTTTGGTAGTTTATTGGGGATAAGTCTCATGGACTTTCCTGCCAGGTTGGCTTCAAACTGCAATCCTTAAATCTCAGCCTTCTGAGTAGCTAGGATTACAGGTGTGAGCCACTGGTGACTGGCAAGATGGTTTCTTTTATAAGCCACAACCCAAAGTCTACTCCCCACAGATGGCAGGAGTTCCTAAGTGGTTCTTTCTGCAGCTAACCGGAGGACAAAGTCAAGGTTTGAACTAATGATGTTGGGCACAGCCATCTGTTAACTTCTTAGCTTGTGGGCCTAGGAAACTTCTACGTGAAAGGTGTCACAATTAGGAGCTCCTAGGAACAAAAATGTCATGCATGGTGCAGGCACACAAATCCCTTCTACGTTAGAGGAAAGGAGAAAACCATACGGGGAAAGCTCTGGAAAAAAATGACAAGAAATCATTGGTATTTACATTCTTGTTTGTACTGTCTTTTTGTTTTGTTTTGCCTTTTAATTTTTTTTTCCTAGAAAAGAAAAACAACCAGGAGATTTATATGACAAACTATCAGTGTCAGGATGGCAGGGGAGAGAGAAAGGACAGAGGCATGGGAAGCTAATAAAAAGTGGGTTCCAAATCACGTGGAACGGTCCACAGGATTGTGTCAAGATCCTCATGAGATGACCGTTCACTTTGGCATGCGTGTTTGGTGCCCGGTCTTCTGGCCCGCCCTCTCAGACACCTATGGTCAGGGAGAGCTGGGCACACTTCACCTGCCGGTGACAAGTTCAGGATTTTTATAGAAAGACAGACTTAATGTAGTTTCTTGGCTTTGTGCTCAGATATAACATGTCAGCCTTTCTTGCCTTAGAGAAGGGTTTGAAAGAGTGTGAGAGTCACCTTGGGGGTACACATTGGTATCACATCACTTGTATGCAGACATAAGTCTTCACCCACACAGGCACCTATCCAGACATTCCCAGTCAATCTGGACAAAGAAGAATGGGGATGTGACAGTCTCCTAGTCACAGCTCAATGGTTGTATCCATTGTTCTCCATTTGTTTGAACTGTCTATTGCCTAAAGAGTGGGAGGAGATTAGAGTGTCTCCATTTTAGATCAGCACTGGACACTGATTGGCCATGTGGACACAGAAGGCCTCTTAAGTTTCAACCACTTTATGCCCCAGGTCTTGGGGCCTAACAGTCAGCTAGACCCAGAGAAAATGGGGTAACCAGAGTGATGGTTGGGCAAGAAAGAGCCAGTAGCACACTGCAAGACTAGAGTACATTCCAGAAGGGGAGAGGGGCATGCAGCAAGCTGTAGCCCCAAGTCACAGTCTAGGGGACACACTGAGTCTGAAGGTTATAACCAGATTTGCTAATCTGTCAGGGTGGTCCTGACACTAAGCCAATGAGCCACTGGTTAGAGTTCCTATGTAGAGTGGAGGGTCCTGCCCTGCTTGGCCCCTGTTCCTGAGCTGAGGCCAGGTTACATCTCAGTGCCGCAGTCCTGAGGAGCACCACGCTGGCCAGCCAGCCAGGCCACAGTCCTCAGCCCCTCGGGGGCCATGCGGCTCAGGTTCCACAGGTAGGCCCCAGGGAACCGCAGTGGCTGGGGGGGAAGGAGCCAGGGCAGAAAGGCTGCATTCTGCTAGAAGAGATACTGGGAGAAGTGACCAGAGGCTCAGACTGAGCTATGATCCAAATATTGCAGAGCCAGAGGGGATGGGATCCATTTCTGAAAAAGGACAACAGCCTTGTCCCTATTTTTAAAAGACAATATAGTTACTGCTGCTTGTTTCTGTTTTTTTTTTTCTTTTAAAACTATTCATTTTAAAAGATGACACGATCAAGAGACTGAGTCTCTTTCCCTCTGATCCTATGAGGAGGCACAGGAGGCCTTGGGCTCTGGCTTGCTTCTGCCTTCCTTTCCTGGCTCGACATAGGAAACCACAGCAGGGCAGAGAGAGCTAGTGCTCTGCTCCCCAACAGTAATTTCTTCTTCCCAGAAAACCAGAACACATGTAAGGAGAAGTCCAAAGACTAAAGTGCAGATAATCCACCAGGTGGGCAGCCTGGGCCTGGGGCACTGAGAAGGAAGGAAGGAGTCAGCCCAGAGCTACAGGTATGGAACAAATGTTGAGCCTCATGAAGGGAACCTATAGGGCAAGTCCCCTTTTCCTTGTGCTCTGGTGACACTTCTCTCTGGAATTGTCCACTACCAGCAGCAACCCCAAGAAAGTCCCAGTCCCAAAGATATGGCCCATGAAGGGAGGAAACCTGTCTGGCCCTCCCCTGGTTGGAAGTGATGGGTGACTGGTAAGGGAGCAGAGTGTGGCAGTAGGGGAAAGTGCATTACATAAATTCGCTGAATCCCAACTTCTGGGAGCAGGGACACATGGACAACTCTAAAGGCAGAGTCTCTCCTGGGGAAGGTTTGGTAAAGATGGTCAGGGTCCTACTAGTGAGGCCTGCTGGGGAAAGGAGCTCCTCTGGGTGCAAGTGGAGCTGTAGCATTGGGGGAGGGGCTGCTGAAAGGAAGAAAGTTCTGGCTGGCATTAGGGTGTATAGGCTGGGGGTGGCTGGAACTGATTGATGACCTCATACTCTGCTGGGTAGGGCTCATTCTCCTCCATCTCAGACAGCAGTTCCAGTGCTTGCTCTTCTTCTTCTGTAGGGTAGTGACGCAGGAGGTTGGCCGCAGTAGCCAGGATTGAGGCTCCACCAGCTCCTGCCACCAGATAGAAACTAACAGCAAAGGTGACGTAGACCTGCGAGCCGTGGTACTTCTTATGTTGCTGCTGCTGGGCCAGGATGAGTTCAGAAGCCCAATAAGAAAAGCCAATGACGGTGGCACACTGCAGGACTAGGGGACAGAAGGACAGCACAGAAGGGGGATTAGGAGGCCTCTGTTGCCAGGATGCTTGAGAATAGCCTTTCAGAGAATCTGTCTGGCTCCAGGCCCTGAAAAGAGGAGCTCTCTTGGCCATGGGATTCTTGGCATGCGGTTGGGGACAGCTATCTGACCTCATCCTAGACAAATTATCTTTGTCTTAACAATCTGAAATTGGAGCCAGGTGCTAGTAGCTCATGCCTGTTAACACTAGCTATTTGGGAGGATGAGAATGGGAGGATTGTGGTTCAAGAACAGATCAGACATAAAAGTTCACAAGACCCCCTTCTTGACCCATAGCTGGGTGCAGTGGTAAGCACACTTTTCTTTTCTTTTCTTTTTTATGGGAGGAGGGGGTCCAATCATGGGGCCTGAACTCTGGGCCTGGGCACTGTCCCTCAGCTCTTCAGCTCAAGGCTAACACTCTACCACTTGAGCCACAGCACCACTTCCGGCTTTTTCCTTTTTGTTTATGTGATGCTGAGGAATGGAACCTAGGGCCTTATGCATGCAAGGCAAGCGCTCTTCCACTAAGCCACCTTCCTACCCCCTCTTTTTTTTTTTTGGCCAGTCTTGGGGCTTGAACTCAGGACCTGGGGCACTGTCTCTGAGCTTCATTTGTTCAAGGCTAGCACTCTGCCACTTGAGCCGCAGCGCCAGTTCCAGCTTTTTCTGTTTATGTGGTACTGAGGAATCGAACCCAGAGATTTATGCATGCTAGGCAAGCCACATTCCCACCTCATTATTCTAAGCTATGTGGGAGGTTATATTACAGTTCCAATCTAGATAAAAAAGTCTATGAGACTCCATCTCCACATAGGGAAGTGGTTGTGTTGGTACATGCTTGTGAACCCAAAGATGGGAAGCCTTTTAAAATAGGCAGATTATGGTAAAGGAGTATACTCTGGCAAGAAACTAGACCCTATCTCAAAAATAATCAGTGAAAAATGGAAATGAAAGCATGGCTCAGTGGTGGAGCACCTGTCTGGCAAACATGAAAACCCTCATCTCAAGTCCTGGTACTGCTTAAAAAATTGCAATTGGCATACTAAGGACACTATTATATGTTGTTAGGTCCTTAAAAGAAATAAGCAAGCTGTGAAACTTGTGAGCTGGAGTTGACAAGTACCAACACAAGCCAAACTGACACACTAGCTCAGTTATAGGGGAGGAGATCAGCCAGACCAGTACAAGCCAAGAGGGCTGGTCTACAGGGAAGTCAAAGGGTAGAGTACAGCTGGGTGCCGGAAGCTCATGCCTGTAATCCTAGCTACTCAGGAGGCTGAGATTTGAGAATCATGGCTCAAAACCAGCCCGGGCAAAAAAGTCCATGAGACTCTTATCTCCAAAAAACTACCAGAAAACCGGAAGTGGCACTGTGGCTCAAGTTGTAGAGCACTAGCCTTGAGTTGAAGAGCTGAGGGAAAGCGCCTAGGCCCAGAGTTCAAGCCCCACAACTGACCAAAAAAAAAAAAAAGAGGTAGAATACTTGTACACCTGTCTGGGATAGACAGCCTGGCTCCTTCTTGCTTACTACAGGCTCTGAGCTCAAATGAACTTCAAATGCCATTTTTAGAGAGCTGTGAGGTTCTTTATGGAATTCTAACAACATTCCCTCCCTACAGATGGACTGAGTAGGTTTGATATCTTGGCAAGCACATTCAAGCAAACTGCTAACAGACTCAAATGCTCTGTGAAAAGCTAAGCTTGTCATAGGAGCACCTGGAACCATGTCTGCTAATAGAAATGAGTTCCACACGCCACTATGCCCTCTGGCAGCTCTCCTCCTACATAGGAATAGGCCCTCAGCTTACCAGTGAGGATATGGGCAAAGGCATAGCGACGAGTGATCTTCAGGGCTGGATGCTTGGGCCCAAAGACATCAAGAAGGAATGCAGAAAGACTACACAGGATGCCCAGGAAGCAGAAGGCAGCAATGACCCTCAGGAGCAGCACTGTCTGGGGGTTCATGCAGAAATCTGTAGGAGAGAGAACCAAAACTTCAGGCACAAAGTAATACTCAGAGGAAGGGAAAGCCCTACCTGGGAAGGTGCTCTGTCCCCCTCCACCATAGTCTCAGGAAGTCTGGGACACTGCAGAGTATTGTGTTAGCCACTGTGACCATCTGGTCTGCTAAGGGGGCAGGGCTGAATAGCCTCCTACCAACAGACAGGCCTCCAGGTCACTACTGCCAAAGCTCTTAAGTTCTTTTTCCAACAGAGACTAGCATATGTGCACGATTCACTGTGCTATGCTCTTCATTTTTCAAGATCCTGACAATTAAGCTGGAATGTAAACCTATTCTTCTAAAGGATACATTAGGCTGGCATTGGACTTCTGAGCTAAGACAGCCAGACATGCTAAGATCAGAGGCTAATTAGTACTTGTTCTTCATTCATTCATTCATTCTCTTTTTGTTTCAAAAAGAAGGTAAAGCCAGGCACTAGTCGATCACACCTGCAATCCTAGCTACTCAGGAACATGAGATATGAGGATCATGGCTTGAAGCCTGGGAAGAAAAGTCTGTGAGACTCGTATCTCCAGTAAACTACTTAGAAAAAGCCAGAACTGACACTGTGACTCAAGCAGTAGAGTGCTAGCCTTGAGCACAAAGAGACTCAGAGCCAGTGCCTAGGCCCTGAGTTCAAGCTCCAGAATGAGCAGAAAAGAAAAAAAAAGTGAACTTGTAGATGAACCAAACATAGGACAAATATTGTATAACTACACTAACTACACTATGATCCAGTATTTCCACTCCTAGGCATTTACCCAAAAGATTACAAACCAAAATACAGTAAAGCCACCAGCACAACCATGTTATTGCAGCACAGTGTTATTGCAGCACTATTCATCAGAGCCAACGTATGGAATCAGCCCAGATGCCCCTCAATGGACAAATGGATCAAGAAAATGTGGGTATATGTACACAATGGGATTGTACTACTCCATTAGAAAAAATAATATTGTATCATTTATTTATTTTTTTTTTTGGGGTCCAGTCGTGAGGCCTGAACTCTGGGCCTGAGCACTGTCCCTCAGCTCTTCAGCTCAAGGCTAGTGCTCTACCACTTGAGCCACAGCGCCACTTCCGGCTTTTTTCTTTTTGTTTATGTGGTGCTGAGGAATGGAACCCAGGGCCTCATGCATGCAAGGCAAGCGCTCCACCACTGAGCCACCTTCCCAGCCCTATTGTACCATTTGTAAAGAAATGGAAACAAAGGAGGAGGCAACAATGCTTGATAAGAAATGTACTCATTATCTTAGCCATGTAATTGTAACTCCTCTGTATGGTATTTTCATAATAATAATAAAAAAGAAATGGAAAGACTTGGAAAAAATTATGTTAAGCGAAGTAAGTCAGGCCCAGAGAAACAAAGAATCCATGTGTTTTCTTATATATAAGACAGATTTAGCTTACAAACTCATAAGTAAATATAACAGTTGGTATGCAAGTATATATTAATGTATTGACTGAAATACAGTAGATTCAAGAAAGATCTTAAATACTGTAAGTCTTTAGAAAGACAAAATCAAAAGTTCAGCAAAATAAAATACCAGGAAGATGGTACTCAAAAGGGGTAAGGTGGGGCCAAGGGGCAAAGGGTAGACAAATGAAAGGAAATGAGGGGGAAAATACAAACAGAATCCAATGTATATCCTACAAAATTAAGAAGAAGGGTTGGAATGGTGGGTAGGAGGGATATGGGTGAGAATGTTGAAAGGAGTGACATTGATCAAAGATATATTAATAAACTGCTTTGCTAAATGACAGCTCCTTTGTACAATTATTTAAAATAATAGAAAAGAAAAAGAGCAAATGGAGCCCACAAGAAAAAAAAGTAACTAAAATAGTCAAATGTACAGAGAAAGTGAAGTGATGGCTGTCAAGGAATAAATAAGGAAAGGACAGAATGCTACTTAATGCGCAGAGTTTCATTTCCAAATGATATTTTAAAAAACCTTCAGGAAACAGATAGCAGTAAAGCTTGCACAGCATGAGAACATACTTTTATGTCACCAAACTAACACTTAAAAATATGAGTCGGGCACCGGTGGCTCACGTCTGTAATCCTAGCTACTCAGGAGGCTGAGATCTGAAGATCACAGTTCAAAGCCAGCCCGGGCAGGAAAGTCCATGTGACTCTTATCTCCAATAAACCACCAGAAAACCGGAAGTGGCGCTGTGGCTCAAGTGGCAGAGTGTTGGTCTTGAGCTGAAGAGCGCAGGGACAGTGCCCAAGCCCAGAGTTCAAGCCCCATGACCGACAAAAAAAAAAGTTAAAATGGCAAATCTTATGCACATTTTACTTCATGAAAAATTTTAAAATCTGGGCAGCAGTGGCTCACAGACAATGCTCAGACCATGAACTCAAGTCCCAGGACTAGCATAAATAAATAAATAAATAAATCTGAAAATGAAGTTAAAGGAGTTCTGAGAAATGTTAGGTGATGTGATGGCCCACATCTATAGCAAGACTGAGGCTGCCTGGGCTATATCATAAGACCCTGTATCAAAAACCCAAAAGGAAGTCAGTGCTGGGGCTCATACCTGTAATCCTAGATACTCAGGAAGCTGAGATCTGAAGATCGTGGTTTGAAGCCAGACTGGGCAGAAAAGTCCATGAAACTCTTTTTTTTTTGCCAGTCCTGGAACTTGAATTCAGGGCTTGGGAACTGTCCTTGAGCTTCTTTTGCTCAAGGCTAGCACTCTGCCACGTAAGCTAGAGCACTACATCTGGCTTTTTCTCTTTATGTGGTACTGAGAAATCAAACCTAGGGCTTCATGCATGCTAGGTGAGCACTCTACCACTAAGCCACATTCCCAGCCCCAGGAGACTCTTACCTCCAAAAAACTACTCAGAAAAAGCCAGACATGGAACTGTGGCTCAAGGGGTAGAAGGCTGGCCTTCAGTGCCAAGAGGCTCAGAGACAGCACCCAGGCCCTAAGTTCAAGCCCCATGACCAGGGGAAAAAAAGTGTAAGTACATGGAAGTCTTAAATAAATTAGGGAAGTTGGTAACTACATTGTCACATTTATTTTGCTCCCTCTCAGAACTCTACCAAAATAAAAGGACTTCTTTTTAAAAGCATAACCCCACCCCCATACACACACATACAAAGCAAAAAAGTGAAACAAAACCAAGAAAACTGCAAATGAAAGTAAGCACACCATCAACTTAGGTTAGTATACAATGTACCACAGGGACAGACAACATTCAAGAAGCCCTAGGGTCATGGAGAAGGCACAGGGTGACAATTGTGCACCAATGATACTATAATTCCATGCTTTAAGAATACAAATAAAAGCCAGGCACAAGTGGCTCATGTCTGTAATCCTATCTACTCAAGAGGCTGAGATGTGAGGATCCCAGTTCCAAGCCAGCCTGGGCAGCAAAGTCCCTGTGAGACTCTTTTGTTTTTTGTTTTGTTTTCTTTTGGGTCCGGTCATGGGGCCTGAACACTGGGCCTGGGCACTGTCCCTCAGCTCTTCAGCTCAAGGCTAGCGCTCTACCACTTGAGCCACAGCGCCACTTCCAGCTTTTTTCTTTTTGCTTATGTGGTGCTGAGGAATTGAACCCAGGAACCCAGGGCCTCAGGCATGCAAGGCAAGCACTCTACCACTGAGCCACCTTCCCAGCCCTCCCCCCCATGAGACTCTTATCTCTAATTAACCATGCAAAAACCAGAAGTGGCACTGTGGCTCAAGTGATATAGAGCACTAGCCTTGAGCTGAAGAGCTGAGGGACAGCACCCAGGCCCAGAGTTCAGGCCCCACATCCAGCAAAAAAAAAAAAAGGTCAAGCCATGATTAAGCATTTTAGGTCTTAATAAAATAACTGTTAGCCCTCAAAATGGGACTTAACCCTCTCTTCTTCTTCTTTCTCAGATATTGGCAAGCTCTTCTTCTTTCAGTTCAGGCAATGGGACCCCAACTAGTTTAGGAAAACCTGAGAAGGGCTGGCCAGACTTAAGCTCTAGGCTCCTTTCCCAAATCTTAGTGTCAAGAGTCTACATGTCAGGCTGGTAAGGTGGTTTAGTGGTAGAGTGCTTGCCTAGCATGCATGAAACCCTGGATTTGATTCCTCAGTACCACATAAACAGAAAAGGCCAGAAGTGGCTCTGTGTCTTGATAAAGACAGCACCCAGGCTCTGAGTTCAAGCCCCAGGACTGGTCAAAAACAAAACAAAGGATCTAGATGTCAAGCCAAGAATCTGCAGATGGTGATCATCAGTGCACTGCACAATTCAGTTACCAAGGTGTAAGCATGTTTAAGGATACCCAAAGGGTCTGAGTTTTAGGTCTGACACAGGGCCTAGGAATCTGGATTTTACCAAGCAAGTAGCTCAAGCCTCACTCTCCAAGAACAGCAGCCCCAAATCCTAGAGAAAGATAGACTGATTGGGAAAAGCCTACATATCTGGGAAAGGAACCCAATGCCAACAAAGCAGACTCAGCTCAGCAGAGGGCTGGTGTCATGAGGTCTTGAACAGGGGACACCACAAGCCTTTATGACTGACATGCATACCCTGCCTCAGGCTCTAAGTTCTCCAGGCAGATGCTGGTTAGGCCCAGACAAATCTCATGTGCATCCATCTGGCTTTGGATCACCAACCAAGCTGCCCTCTTTTCAAGATCTCATCTGTTGACCATTGGGTTAAAAATCCCTCTCAAGCCAGGTGTCAGTGGCTCACATCCGTAATCCTACTCAGGAGGCTGAGATCTGAGGATCCCAGTTCAATGCCAGCCCAGGCAGGAAAGTCCAAGCGACTCTTAACTCCAATAAGCCACCAGAAAGCCAGAAGTGGCGCTGTGGCTCAAGTGCTAGCATGCTCGCCTTGAGCTGAAGAGCCAAGGGACAGCGCCCAGGCCCAGAGTTCAAGCCCCACCAAAAGCAATAAAAACCCTCTCAAGCATCCATCCTAGATGATTGCCTACTGCCAGGAAACTGCCGGTGGGCATGAGCTCTGCTGGCAGCCA